CTACAAGCTGGAGCTTTGCTTCCTTTCCCTTTCTTGGCTTCTTACCTCCAACCTTTCTGTGTCATTGCTCAGAAAAACAGATTTCTGTTGAGCCCTCTCGAGTTTTAAATTTGGTGTAATTTCCCCAGTTCCTGTGGCAGAAGGGTTTGAGCACTGAATATATATATATGGAATCCACCAAGTTTATTATGTCTTCTCTGGTCCTTTCAGGGAGATTCTCTACTTTCAGTGGACATCAAGGACACATACCTCCATTTTCTCAGCTTTTGAGTGCATCAAGGTTTCTTTTTTTTTCTTTTTGCAGTAAAAAAATGTGCATTTATTATTTTTGTCCAAAGGAGCCTGTAAAGCATTGCACCAGCGATCCATAGATCGCTGATGCAATGCAGGTCTCCTGCAGATCTGTCAGAATATCTACTTGCCGTACAGGATGTACGGTCAAACAGATATTCTGACAGGAGGCTTCAATGAACTACCACAGTACTCCACAGTGCCCTAGTAGATCATTGAAAACTACAAGCCGGCAGTCGCTAAGGCTGTTGGGACTTGTAGGCACTTGTTCACAGAACTCTGTGATTGAGTGATGCAGAGCCCCCCACCGCCATGTTGTTTACAAATCTGACAGTGCAGAGAAAAATCTCTCCACACTATCTCAGAGGGAGGGGGGGGGGGGGCGGCGGGCGCGGCTACAGCTATAGGAACATGTTACATGGTCCACCCTAAAAACAGGTGGAACATGTTCCACAGGTGAACTTATCCTTTAACCTGTAAGTAAAATTTTATAGTTTTGTGTAGGGACAAGGTGAATTTGAGGCTCAGGACTTGTGTTTTTTTCCTAAGATTGTTTCTGCCATGCACCTCAACTAGGACATTGTTCTTCTGTCTCTTTGTCTGGTTCCAGTTCACCAAAAGGATGTTTCCTACCATTGTCTTGGTGTGGTTCGTGGTTTGGTGTGTGAAGGTGTCTGAAAGACTGATTCCTTTTTTTTGGTGAATGATCTCCAAAAGAATGCACCAACTTCTTGTTCTACGACATTTTTTTGGCTCAGACAGATGATCATCCAAGCTTACGGTCTCAATAATCGAATCCCACTCTTTCCCATCTCCTCCATCTTAACCGCTTTGCACCGTCCTACCGTGATATAATCCACTGCGGCTTACCATTTTGGCTATATCTAATACCAGTTTTGGGCATACAGCCTTTCAGGTGGTCCTTTTGAGCTGCAGGCTGTTGTATTCTTGTGCCTGTTAACATTTGTTTGCTGTGTTGCCCACCCCTCAGGTGGACTGCTTTTAGACGTCCTGACCATAAGACTTCTTCCCGTGTCTGTCAAAACACGAGAAAGAAGATAGGATTTTTGCAGTAAATGTACAATCCTTTTCTTTGAGTCTATTAGACATAGAACTCACCCCTCTGGATTTACCATCATACCCTTGAGGCATGCAGAAGGGGTTACCTTGGGCTATCCTACAAGGTTTTGGTTATGAGGTTTTTTTTTTTGCTAGTCCCAATCCTCCTCCTGTAGGCGGTGGTATAACCTGAAGGTAAAAGATTCCCTGTATCCCTCAATTGACTTAATGAAAAGGTTTTCACCACAATCTATTATATGCATTTCCTACATTTCTATTATGCAATGCTTCCCAGAATACATTGAACTATTTTAATCAGGCCCTGCCCCTCAAGAAGCTTACAATCTTTTCCTGACATCCATCAGAGAGGTGGAAAGACGAGATGAAGAGAATGGACAAATTCTGTGTAAATGCAGACAGACATTTTATCCCAGTAAACGAGTGTTTCAAGGCAAGCATTCTGATTACTTATTCACTTTCCTGGCAAGACATAAGCAGTTTTGAAGGGCACCTCCTATATAACAAACTTACACTTGCAGCCTCCACCCACGTAATTCATTTTCAAGCTCTGTAAATATATCCAATAATTTGTGAGTGTAATTCCTTTGTCTGGGAATGACCATTATGGCGTAACGAGCAGCTGTTGTCTGTCTAATCTGTGCACACACATTTACTATAATCACATGTATGGGTACACGGGCAGGAACAAGGTGAAGAAACACAGATGTCTCAAAGAAATACGTGTTCTCTCAAGTCTTTGTTTTTATCTAGAATATTTTGCAGTGTTATTTTTAGTAGTAGTCAAGCAGATAACAACAGAAGCCATTTGTCCTTGTGTGTAAAGAATGGCGTAGCTACAAAAACTGCTTTACCTTCAAACATAAGGCTCATCTCTGCATATTTTACAAACTGATTTTCGGAACTTTTGACTTGTATTTCACAATGTTGGTATATGTTTTAGGATCACTGTTTAAAGCAGAAGTTCTTACAAGGAGAATTTCCCCTTTTCCACCTCCTCACTACTCCTGTTTTTTTTGGGGGGGGAGCAGGTACCTGAATTTTTTTCAAGGTGCCTGCTCCCACTTCCGCTTCGATCACCTAGGTCACGGTGTCAAACTGGCGGCCCTCCAGCTGTTGCAAAACTGCAAGTCCCATCATGCCTCTGCCTTTGGGAGTCATGCTTGTAACTGTCAATCTTGCAATGCTTCATGGGACTTGTAGTTTGGCAACAGCTGGAGGGCCGCCAGTTTGACACCCGTGATCTAGGTGATCCGAGCGGAAGCTGGCTTCCCCTCACCTTTGCCAGCAGCCTTCTGGGACATGTCACAGGTCCCGGAAAACTGCGGAACTATTCGCAATGCGCAGCTCAAGCATGCACAGTGGGAAACTGGCTGTGAAGCTACAAGGAGTCACAGCCGCCTTCCCACACTAGAAGTGTTACTAAACCCAAAACAGTAAAATAGATCTGTATATGCAGTAAAGAATGCTTGTTATGCTCACTGTGGAATCTAAGGGGTTAATCCTCTGCATTGTGTAAAAACTCTGTCTAATCCTGACTTCTCTGATCCTCCCCTTTTTCCAGTGTCCCCCTCTTGTTTCCTGATAAGAAATATCATGTGGAGTCGCTCTGCACAGGCCCAGTTTGGTGTGTATTGCTAGAGAGGGTTTTTTTTTTTTTCTTGGGAGAGTGCATGTGATCAGCACAGAGCCAGTCAGCACTGTACAAACAGCGGGTTCTGCATTCTCCTAGAGCAAAATGAAAACTCCTCCTACAAGCTTTAACCAGTGCTCAGCTGGACACTGATAGATTTCACAAGACTGCTCTAACTGCTTATGAGAAAAAATATTTAGCAGTTTATATTTACTAAACTAATTGCACTACCACGTTTTGTGTACTCTGGGAGACCAGATATAGTGAATGCAGGGTCCTGGGTTTAGTAACACTTTAATGTGGTTTGTGAGTCACATTTTTTGTGTAAAACACACCGCAAACGCAACAAAAACGCATATGCTTTTTAGCACGGATTTTGCTACGGATCACTGTGAAAGTAGCCTTAGGTTGTCTCCACCTAGGTAGTGGTAGATGCACTAGCATGTTTAAAATGACTAACACTTTGATAGCTGAACTCAGATAACACTTTATATGCAGTAGTTACAGTAAGGCTCCATAGCTGTGCAAAGTCACGTTAAAAATGTGAGTTTTTCAGCTTTTTTATCATTTTTGCGTTAGCGTTTTGCAGCGTTATGCCGCGATTAGTGGCGTTTTGCCACATTTGTGTTTTTTTTGGGGGGTTTTTTTTACCAAAAAAAAGGTTTTTTTTTTTTGGGTCAAGAAAACATCCCAAAACTGCAGTTTGCTGCGTTTTACCGCGTTTTTCAGCATTTTCCAGCATTGGAGCGTTTTTACAGCTGAAAAACTCCTCTAGAAACCCACTAGTCCTGGGTTTTTTTTCCAGCCAAAAAATGTCCCAGCTAAGAAAACGTTGATTACAGTCTATGTGTGCATGGACACATAGGATAACATGCTGGGGGTTTACTAGCTGTAGAAAAAACCGTCAAAAGCCAAAAACAGCTGCTGTAAAGGAGGTTTGCTGGGGTGTCGGCTCACTGTGGTGGTCACAAAAAGCAACAGATAGCTGGCCCATGGAGTGTACACTTAATCCTGAAGCCTACAGCTGCCGGGAATGTGTGTAAACCCCCCATGCCCCCACTGCCATCACCATTGAAAAATAAGACTAACTGGCAGGATCAACAGGTGAAAAAAAGTAAAAAAAGAGAATACTAATGCAGCCACCACATGTATGAACTGGTAAGCTGCATTATAATACATTTTTGTTTTGGGGTTTAAAGTGATTGACATAAATGTGTTTTTTTTTGTAACATAATAAACTTGCTATACTTACATGTTATATTATTGCACAGAGCAGCCCCAAACTTCCTCTTCTGGAGTCCTTCTGCCTGTGCTCTTGGCTCCTCCTCTTCTGCATACACCAGCATAGCAAGCCTCTTGCAATGGGGGAGCATATGTGGGCTGGATCCCAAACCAGGCTGTGTGCTTCCATAGACACACAGTGTGGCTCAGGGCCCCACCCCCCCTGCTCCCTCCTCACAGAAATTGATTGACAGCCGCAATGCCAATGCCTCCCACAGCTGCCTCTGAATCCTGTGAGGAGTGAAAGAGCAGTGCTGGATCAAGAAAGGACTCATCTAAGTATTTGGAGGGGAGCTGATCATTGAAAGATGCATTAAAGTAAAAAAAAAATTATGCCTTTACAACCGTTTTAATTCTTTTAACCACTTTAACATGTTAAGTGCTGCAGGTTTTTTTTTGTAGTGGTAGGCCTAATTTCTCATTTAAAGTAGGACTCTGACCATTCTTGTTATTTGAGATTGGAGAAGGATTAGAACCTCTATCAGGTTTTTATTGTTGTCTGTGTCCTTACTAGGACTGCATTTTCTTTTTTGCTTCCAGTTGGGACAGGAGCAGTGGGAATACAGAGGAATAGGGTCAGACAGGGTAAGTGTAGAACTTTTAGTACATAACCTTTCTTATTTAATACTTTATTTTTTTTATTACAGACCAGCTGATATGAAGGAATCTTCACGCTGATCCATAATCCTTAGCACGTGGTCCAGAAACATCTTGCAAGATGGGGAACAGCTTACCTTCTACTGCCGCCGTTGTTCGGTTCTGCCAGAAACTGAACAGAGTGAAGACTCTGGAAGATGACTTAATGGAGACATCGCTAAAGAGATGCCTTTCCACTCTTGACCTCACCCTTTTAGGCGTGGGTGGAATGGTGGGTTCTGGTCTTTATGTACTTACAGGCACTGTAGCCAAGGAAATAGCAGGCCCAGCTGTGGTCGTATCATTTTTTATTGCCGGAATTGCCTCTCTGCTCGCAGCTCTGTGCTATGCTGAATTTGGTGCACGGGTGCCAAAAACTGGTTCTGCATACATGTTTACGTACGTTTCAGTTGGTGAACTTTGGGCATTTCTGATTGGCTGGAATGTGATCTTAGAATATATGATTGGTGGTGCAGCGGTGGCAAGAGCTTGGAGTGGCTATTTGGACTCCATTTTTGACCACAAAATAAAAAACTTTACTGAAATTCATATTGGAACCTGGAATGTGCAGTTCTTGGCTCACTACCCTGATTTCCTTGCTGCAGGAATCTTGCTGTTTGCCACAGCATTTATATCATTTGGGGTTAGGGTGTCATCCTGGTTGAATCACATCTTTGCTGCCATTAGTATGGGAATCATACTTTTCATCCTTGTATTCGGCTTCATCCTGGCAGAACCAAAGAACTGGTCGGCTGAACATGGGGGCTTTGCTCCATTTGGGTTTTCCGGCATTATGTCTGGCACTGCCACATGTTTTTATGCCTTTGTTGGGTTTGACGTTATTGCAGCATCAAGCGAAGAAGCCAAGAATCCTCAGAAAGCTGTTCCCATTGCAACAGCTGTGTCTCTAGGCCTTGCCACAGGGGCGTACATTCTGGTGTCCACTGTCCTGACTCTCATGGTGCCTTGGAATACATTAGTACCCGACTCTGCCCTTTCTGACGCTTTTTACAGGAGAGGATATTCTTGGGCAGGATTTATTGTAGCTGCTGGATCCATTTGTGGTAAGTCTTATATATGTGGTAAGTCTTATATAAGTGCATTTTGGTTTAATGCTTTTGCAGTACAACATAGGATTAGTTCACAATATTTTAGCATTGGCTTCCAACATCAGGTCGTTTTCAGGATTTCTTTCACCTCGAATAGGTCAATAGCTTGTATTTAAAACAAATATTTTATCTAAAGGAAATTCCCATACCATGAAGGTTCCTGAAGACTGAGGCTGGGAATCACTGTTTTAACACAAGGATAAGGATCTTTATTTTAGGCATGCAATTTTACTTGTCATATCTCATTGGCCTCGCTTAAAATAACTGTCACTGTTTAAAAAAAAAAGGATCCTTACCCTGGTGTATTAGCTTTTTGAATTGAGCCTTGGATGTGAAACTATAATTAATAATGAATATCTACATCCCTCACCCCCACACCTGCCATTGAATGGCATTGGAAAATAACAGCTGGAGCATGAAAGATAAAACCTAGCACAGGACAATACATACATGTCTTATTAAAAACACAACAATACATCATGAATATACCTTGCTCATTGTTGGTTCTTAATCACATAAATTACAATTTACATAACACATAGCAGCTGTTTCTGCACTGACTGCATGTGAACTTAGTGTAGGGGCAAACACCCAAGCTGGAGCAGCAATCCGAGTTTGGCATGCACACTTTCACCTATGCAATGCAAATACACAACTTGGAAGAATGGGACATAATTTCCCTGTGTCATTTATTAGATCAGCTTTTCTCAACCAGGATTCCATGGAACCATAGGGTTCCTCCAGAGGTTGCTAGGGGTTCCTTGAGCTGTGGCTGCTTGAACTTCCATCTGATGGTGTCTACATAGTTTTTGGCCCATTTGGAAGAACCAACAGTATGACACCAAGGGGTTTATTTACTAAAGCTGGAGAGTCCAAAATCAGACTCCCTTCTGCATAGAAACCAATCAGCTTCTAACCTCAGCTTGTTCAATGAAGCTTTGGCAATGAAACCTGGAAGCTGATTGGTTTCTATGCAGAAGGGAGTCTGATTTTGGACTCTCCAGCTTTAGTAAATAAACCCCCAATGGTCTTTTTAGCGATCTGTAAGGCACCAATGTAAACGGGACATTTTTCCCACTGATCTCCATAGAATTAGTTTTATCTGGGGTACCCCAGGACCTGAACGTTTTTTCAAGGGTTCCTCTATGGTTAAAATTTTGAGAAAGGCTGTATTAGATGGTTCTGGTTATGCGGTAATGAGGGGATGCTCCATGGTATACTATAATATCTTACAGCTATCCAGAATGAGTATTTTAAAATGTAATCCTTCTAGAAAATAGTTTGTGGAGCAAGGGAGTGTCTTCACATAGGTTTGGTAGTTCGGTGTGAGGAAAACAAATCATGGCAGCCAGTCCAGCAGTATATTGGAATATGTCCCTACTAGTCATTTTTAATAAGTTGTCCTCTTTAATATTCAGGACTTGGTGTCCATGGTTTAACAGTGAAAGTGACAGATATTGATTGTGTTTATTTTTGTGTTCTCATATAGCAAATGCATTGCTCATCTCAAAGGCACTTAGCATAGTGTATTTGTTTTACTGTTAATGTATGTGTGTTGTGCGTATATTTCAAGAATAGAATCTTTATTTTTTGTGAGTTAATGCTGCAAAAGCTTTGTTCTTGCTAAAAGTTGGAACTTCCAGTACTGCTGCCACTGGGCTTGTTTAAATGGGGGCTGTTTTCCTGTGTTTGATGTGCTTTAAAAATGTATGTCAAATCTGGTCAGCAGATTCTCATTGACTTCATTAGTGTCAATAATAGTGTAATGCGTTTTTCCAGACACATCAGTTCATATTGGGGCGCGTTTTGGTTAATAGACAAAGCAGACCAAACGCAGCCTTTTCTTTTCAAATACTGAGCTATGCATTCAAAAGTATCCCTATGAACGGAGCTATACTCAAGAAGGAAAAGGTTGTCATGAATGCCCATCCACACAGCCCTAAAGCTGAAAAAATCTAAAACTTATTTCTAACAAAATAATTATGAATAATGAAGTGCATTGTATAATAATAGGAGTCTACTTGTTACTGAGCAAATCTACTCAATCCCACAAAGACTACATAGGGTACTTCTGCAATAGGATGAGCAGAATTTTAGCTAAACAAATGTCTACCTGATAGTACCTTCAGTTCATTCAAATGAAGGGGACTCGTGTATGTAAAAGAAAATTACTGCAACATTTCTATAGGGCTCATAGTTGCATTGTAAGATGCAACTACCTAATTTGTAAATATACTGAATGAGGAAAGAACAAACAGAGGGCGCACAGGCCTAGTGCATTACTAAAAAAAATGTTTAACCTCCTTGGCGGTATTCCCGAGTGTAGCTCAGGGTAACATTTCAGTACCAAGAGCGGTAACCCCGAGCTACACTCGGGAATACCATGCGGCACTGCTCCGGCATGTGTTCTTCACTTACCTTACCATGCGCTCCCACGATGTGTCCCCTGCAGCGTCCCCGGCCATCTCCTCCGGCCGATGCCGGCATCCGGCTTCTGTGTCCTGTCCCTGTGACGTCGGGACGTACAGGCGCCGCTGGCGGTGGGAAATTTAAAAATTTTAAAAAATGTCTTTTTTTTTTTTTAAATTTTACATAGTAAAACATTGCTGCCTCAACCAATTTCACATACATCTTGTCCCTAATGCTTTGTCCTGTGCCCTGCCGGCATTTTGTCTGTTCTTTCTGCCTGAAAACTGAGAAATGTCCATGGCGTCCAAAAAGTGTCCCTTTAGGTCAAAAGCGGTTTAGATCAGCTAGGAGAACAGCGATAGTAAATCAGAACCACTTGCAGAATTGAGTGATAATGATTTGTGGGGAAATTCCTCATCAGACACTGAAAACGATTTTGCGACTTTGCTCAGTGATGTGCTAACTTGGTGCTATATTTCACATTTCAGTGTTTTTGGTTTGATTATATTATTGAATTAAATGTATTATTATTATATTATTATTTTTTATGATTATTTATTAAATTATAATATGATTACGTGTTTCAAATTTTATCCTACCCGGGATGTTTACTAGACTCTTTTTCGGACAGATTTCAGGGAGTTATTCCTAAATTACAGGCCTACAATAAAAAAACTACATATTTCCATGCAAAAAAATGGTACCGCTTTTGGTACAAAATTCCTGACATAATCATACCGCCAGGGAGGTTAATAAGAAATAAAGTAGGTGTTGTACTCACAAACGACAATAAAGTCAAGGCACATCATAAAGAACAGCTGGGTCAACACGGCGCTGAGTAACAGTCCGCAATAGGGAGTTTAGACATCCAAAAGGCTGCCGCGTTTCGAGGACTTGCCTCTTCCTCAGAGTGGATCTGAGGAAGAGGCAAGTCCTTGAAACGCGACAGCTGACTACGCTGTTCTTTTATGACGTGCCTTGACTTTATTGTCGTTTGTGAGTAGAACACCTACTTTTATTTCTTATTAAAAAATTTTATGGTAATACACTAGGCCTGTGCTCCCTCTGTTTGTTCTTTCCTCATTCAGTATATTTGGATATCCCCGGTCTATTGAGGGCAGCAAGGTGTGCATGTTTCAGGACATTCTTAATGTAGTTGTAGCCTGCATCGAGTCCATCCCCAAGTGCAGGAGCATTTGTGTTTGCTACCTAATTTGTAACTCTCATGGTTTTTTAAGGCCCAGTCATACTTCATGTGCCTTGTAGTAACACGTGTGTTAGCCTATGTTGTGTCATGTGTGTGTTTATAGCGCAAAAAATAAAAAATGTGCAGGCGATCAAATACCAGTGAAAGAAAGCTCAATTCGTGGGAAAAAAGGACATACATTTCATTTGGGTGCAGTGTTGCATGACCGCGCAATTGTCAGTTAATGGAACGCAGCGCTGTAATGCAAAAAATGGCCTGGTCAGGAAGGGGAGTAAATCCTCAAGAGGGCAAGTGGTTAACAACATGTTACATGTTACACCCATATTAGGGAACAAAATATAACATGTTGCTAATTGCCAGTTCCCCACACCCCGAGTCTTCCCCTGTAACAATGGGTGGGGTTTCCTGTCCCCTACAGCTGCTGCCACATTTAAAATTGTCACAGTCCTGCATGCACAACCGTGTCAATAATTCACAGTGATCTGTGAATAAATTAATTATAAGTCCCGTCTGCCACTGTGGCAGAGTGACTTGTAGTTCTCAAAGACTGATCAGCACTGTTTACTTAGTGTCTGCAGGAGCCTGACATTGCACACACGATCCACTGATCACAGGTGCAATGCCAAGAAAAAAAATATTAAGTGTACTTTTTTTTTTACTTGCCAAAACATTTGCATTTATACTTTTTTACACAAAGGCGAACTTATCCTTTAACAAGTAGCAGTGCGTCACAATGCATTTCAATGCAGCATTTTCACCCAACATACACAATTGCAGCAGACTGGTGTGAAATGGGCCTAGTGGGATTTTAGCTTGTTGTTTTCAATGGGCTCTTGAGGTTTTAGGGTATCCTTCAGCAGAATGGAATTTATGGTATTAATATGGTTGCCAAAAGATTTCTTGCCGTGAAGAAGTAAAAACCTCTCCCCTTTAGAAATAAAATAAGAAAGAATAATAATTAGACCAGTTATAGTGAGGTGAACCAAAAAGGCCAGTGGTATATATGTCTAGTACAGAATTTGCATGGTTCCACTCAATATCCACTATCCTAATGAGGAAAGCCCTTTAGTTTTTGGGATTTGTGATAGAATGAGACATGTAGGTACCTTCTAAGAAAGCTCTACTGTGCTTAGATCTAAAACCAAACCTTATATATCTTCAGGGTTAAAGACATGAATTTAAGAAGGGAAAATGTATTTATTTAAAAAAAATGCTATTTATTATTTATGAGAATTGGAAATGGTAGAAAATCAAATTTCTTAGGAGGGAGGGGGAGGAGAGAGGATCTTAAGGAAAAAGGAAGGTCCTCTTTAAATGGTGCTTTATGTTTTGATCATCTCTAAGTTGTGTTATATAGTTAATTTATGGGCAGCATGTGAAGTACAATGCTATTAACTTGCTGTTTTTGCTTTCTTTTAAAGCTATGAATACAGTTCTGCTAAGTAACCTCTTCTCCCTACCAAGAATTGTGTATGCCATGGCTGAAGATGGACTTTTCTTTCAGTTTTTCTCCAAAGTAAACCCAACCACCAAAGTACCAGTCATTGGAATTGTGGTGTTTGGTATCCTGATGGCTCTACTTGCTTTGATTTTTGACTTGGAAGCCCTAGTGCAGTTTCTTTCTATTGGCACCTTGCTGGCCTATACCTTTGTTGCAGCTAGTATCATCGTATTGCGATTTCAGCAAGAGAAATGTGACACTTCAGCTGCAGGTGACCTAGAGCAAAGTCCTCAGCACCGAGAGCCTGGAATCAATACAGATAGGATCATTGGGGAGGAAATGAAGGAATACGAGTCTTTCTCTGATAAGCTTCAGTTGGTTGAAAGTCAGAAAAAAGCCAAAGAGCGTAGAGAAAAAACTGGACACTTGAAAGCCGCCTTTGAACCATACCTTAGGTTCCTGAGTGACTGTTATCCTGGAGAGGTGGTCACTATTGCAGTTGTGACAATGATGGTCTCTGCCATCTGCTTGTGCTGCGTCTTGGTTTTTGGAAACAACCATTTACATCTTCCCACATGGAGTTTTTATCTTCTGCTTGTCATCTTCCTGATTGGGTTCCTCATCAGCCTGTTCTTAATCTGGGTCCATGAGCAGCAAAAGAAAACAAATACCTTTCAGGTAATCATGGGTCAGCAAACCCTTTTCAGTTCATATACTATACACTAATGCAGTGGTTCTCAACCTTCCTAATGCCGTGACCCTTTAATACAGTCCCTCATGTTGTGGTGACCCCCAATCATAAAATTATTTACCCAGTAATTATAATTCATGAAGTGTCGTTTTACCTCCAATACTGCTGCTTTCAACACAGTATCTGCTTTTAACAGAGTAGCTGCTTTCAACACAGCAGCTGCTTTCTACACAGTAGCTGCTCTTTACACATCGGAAATATGTGTTTTCTAATGGTCTTAGGGGACCCCTGTGAAAGGGTCGTTTGACCTCCAAAGGGGCCGCGACCCACAGGTTGAGAAGCACTGCACTAATGCAATGATGTAAAACTACTAGTTTTGGTTTCCTTAAACAAATGCTGTACCTGAAAGAATGTTACAGATGGCAGGTGAAAGGACCTCAGAAGATCCTAACAATTGTGAGAATCCATCAGCATTTATCTTGTTGCTTGAAAGTCCAATGTTCAACATACAGGTCCCCTGCAACAGTAATTGTTAGCTTAGTAGTGGACCATACCATTTTCAACTAAATAATTGCAATCTGTGCCGTAGCTTCATCTTCACCAAGGGTAGGATTTTGTACTTTTTATGAGGATGAAATTACAATTAAGGTTGCACATTTGTGTGTACCTCCATTCACTTTCCCTCGAGAGTACTTGAGAATTGTTTTTGGAAGTTTTAAAGTAGAAACTATAGGTAAAACCTTTTTTTTTCATTTTGGATAAAGCAAGGGAGAGTTATAACCCCTGTCAGACTTCTTTTCACCATCTGCATCCCATTGCGGAAATGTCCCTTCACTTCCTGGCCTATAGCCAAACAGGAAGTTTACGGGGACACCAAGAGCAATAAAAAACTGACAGGGGTTCTAAACCCTCTCCACTCTGTCCACAACTGAAAAAAAATTGCCTTTAGTTATGTTTTTAAGCTTGGACTTGTAGAAATTTACTTGGGAAAATTGTAGTAAATCAAATTTTTTAATATGGATGTTGATCTAAAAAACAAAGTACCGCTTGATGCTCTGTAGCATCTTTACTTTCAGAAACATTCTAACATACTTAATTGTTTAGAATGATCGTTAGTATTCTATTACACTTTTATACAGATATTACTATTTTGAAAAATTTTTATATAATATCAATGCATTTATCCTCCAATTATTTTAGTTTTCCAATACTGTACATTTTCATACTTCTCTTTGGTTACATATATGCACGGAGCTGCTAAAGGCACCCAAATAAGGCAGCCTCTTGGTCCATATTATCATGTGTAAATGTAGAATGCCTTATGTGTCACTGCAGCTTTATAAACTAAGACAATAAACAGACCTAGTCTGTCTTTTTGTTCAAAATGAAGATCAAAGAACAAGCACTATATGTTGTCTTGTATACTGCTTTAGACAATTTTAGTACCTCTTGCCATTTCCATACAAATGTCCCATATGCCTAAATTTATGGACAGGAGATCCAACATACTGGGGGTGGATTTAAAAAAAAAGTGTTGTCAAGGGTTTCCACCATAAAAAGTGCCATGTAGCACCTCATATGTTCTGCACTGTGTCACTATGGCAGGCAACCTCTCTTTTATTTACCATAATAGTGACATCACAGAGCCAGTCCAGGCTTTGAAAAGATCCCAACCATATGGTCGGGATCCTCTCAGAAGCCTGGACCAGAACCTGGCCCAGCCTCTCAGCAATCCACCAAGAGCCTGAGGCAGCCGCACCCGCCCCTTCCACAGCCTAGCACTTCAGTGAGTGTTGGGGTGGCAGAGCAAAAAGCTGGAGGCTGAGAGTCACGGTGCTCTGTTCAGAGCGGAGAACTGAGCGATCAGCGGTGATTGATTGCTTAGTTCTCTGTACAGAGTTGGTGGGGGGCAGATGCAGCATCGGATTGATGCTGCGTCCACTTAGGTGAACATAATTTTTTTTTTTCTAAAGGCCAAACTTCTCTTTTAATCATTATATTAAAATGTTCTGGCTTTATTAAATGAACTAAAATATTTTTATGTGAAGTTTTTAATAGAGTATTTGTCAACTTTAACCCCATAGGTCCCACTTGTACCTCTGATTCCAGCTTTGAGTATCCTGTTAAACATATATCTCATGCTTAAGCTGAACACTATGACATGGGTGCGATTCTCAGTATGGCTTGCTGTTGGTAAGTTTTTTTTTTATTCAGCTTTTTTTTCCACTTTCAACCCAGGTATATTTTTCTCCCTATTCAGGTCTATAGAGGGTGATTCTGTTATGAAAAATAGCCTTTTTAAAAGTCATGGTTAAGTCATAGTCATGTACTATTGTTATGCGTGAACCAGACACATATACAACATGAATATTGTTTTACCATGGGCAGTTGTAAAATGCCACATTTTGGCCTCTAGATCAGTGGTCTCCAAACTGTGGCTCTGGTGCCAGATGCAGACCTTTATCCAGCCCTCGAGACATTATTCCTGCCACTGACACCAAGAATGTGGCATAATTCATGACACTGACATCAACAATGGGGCACTATTCCTCCTATTGACACCAACTCTTTCTCCTAATGCCAAAAATCGAGCATTGTTGACTCCCACTGGGCACAGTCCGGCCCCCCTAAAGTCTGAAGAGCAGTAAACTGGCCCTTTCTTTAGAAAATTTGGAGACCTCTGCTCTAGATACTGCTGAGGAGCAAGACAAACTATATCTTTGCAACAATAGATACAGTGTAACAATTCCAGAGAAGGCTAGATAGAACTGGCAAATTAATGTAACCATTACTTTTTTACCAATTCCCTCTATATTCTCTCAGAAACAATTGAGTACTGACGTGATACTTTTTTTATTTGCACTAACATACAATTTTGAGGACAAGCTTTCAGGGAATGTCCCCTTCTTCAGGTCCAAGCAGTACTGATCACAATGTTTTAGCAGAATGTTAGAAGAGATGTAGGGGATGGAAAAAAAAAAAAGAAAACAGAGATAAGACACAGCAAAAGCAAAGTCTGGGGGGGGGGGGTGGATACAACACTCACAGAGGCAGTCATGCTTGAGGTGATAGTCATAAAACTGTTGGATAATGATTGAGGAATCCCATGTCCAAATTCAGGCTGTTATCTCTTGTGTCAAATAGAATTATCATTCTTGGTTCAAAAGTTTTTCTTTCCTGAATGGTTTTGAAATTTCCTTTAAGAGCTAAAATATTGAGGTCTCCCAAAGTGTGGTCTGGTTGTGCGAAATGGTGTCCCACAGGTGTGCAAAAGTCATCTTCCCTATGTTCCTTGATGGTATGTCTGTGCAAATTCATCCTTGTTTGAATCACCTCAAGCTCTATATTCTCTATAGTAGTACTTTTTTAGTCTCCATAAAAATGCTCCCAGTATATTCACACAATATTGATAAATATGCTACAAGCCCTCTTCTAGAAGTAGGATTTCCTGACACATGGCTCTTAAAGAACCCTAGCGTGACCCCTCTCTAAGAATACATTGTGCCTCATTGCACCAGTGGAAGTATCATGACCTTAAGAATCATTTGACTTTTTCATCTGTATCTTTGTTGTGAATAGAGCTGTAGAACCAGATATCAGAATATCTTATAGAACCCAGGTGTGACCCCTCTCTAAGAATACATTGTGCCTCATTGCACCAGTGGAAGTATCATGATCTTAAGAATCATTTGACTTTTTCATCTGTATCTTTGTTGTGAATAGACCTGTAGGACAAGATCAGAATACACCGGTCATTACACTAATATTATTTGTTAGAAGTGTACTCTCTTGAGTGTGTCATCTTCTGGCTTCACAATGGAAATTTTGAAATATTCATAAACTCATTTCATATCCATCCAAGTACATAAATATTTTACCGCTGCAAAATTAAAAATCACACCAAACATAGTGCTATGTCTTCCCATATAGTATTTACTGTGCATACAGGGCTCCGATATAGCAATAGTTACATGAGAAAATTAAATATTCAATAATAATAATGTTCGGTGGGCACTTCCCTCCCTCCAGAATGAAAATGCTGCTGTCCAAAGGTGTCTCTTGCTCCTTCATCCAGAGTGTAGGCATTCTAATACTGGAGGTATGTTACTGGCCAGATCACCAGGTGAAAAAAGAAAACAAATACAGCCACCACATCTGATTGATAGGCTGCAATATATTACTCTTTTGGTTTTGGGCTTAATACCGCTTTAACTTTTGAACAATTTAAATTCTTAAATTTTGCGAGCTAAGGGCTAAACCCACCATCCCTACCCTCATCACCACCAAAAACATGTTAATTGGAATGTGACACCAAAATTGTTACTAATATAATAGTAGTATACACAAGTTGATTTTGAATATAAATAAATATATAATTATGTCTAACAATAATTAAAGTTGAACTCCAGAAAATACTTTTTGTGCATATTTGGACAGGGTGCATTGAACATTTCATATACAAATTTAAGTGTACTTCATTGCACTTCACCAACCCTTGAATTTCCTCTCAGCATCAAAAAGCATGGTTTCACACAGTGGATTATTAACCACTTGACAGCATTCTACCATACTTAAGGAGGTAAGAGCCGTACTTCGCTCTTCTTCTGACAATGTTTCCTTGTATGCATAGAGCAATCATGTGGCCCTTGTAATAGCTTTCAGTTATTTTCTAGCTAAACAGAAGTAATGTTTTCTTCAGCCTTGTAATAAATAATTAAATAGCATAGACTTCTGTTGTCTTTGCCTATGCCATGCTACGAGGCAGAGCTGAGGAGCAGGTGAGCATGAGCCCTGAATGTATGTCCAGTTGGACAGATGAAGATTTCTCCTAAAAGAAAAAGAATCTGCACCAGGGACACATCATACTAACTATGAGTTATGTCCCTTCTGTTGATTTTTATATGTTTCTTTTTAGCTAAACTTGATCTTTAAACTAAAAATGAATGCCTGTTACTTTAAAATATTGATTTGCTTTAGCGGGGGTTCCTTGGATGCCCACAGCTGACAGAGGACTCTTGAACTGGAGATCCCCTTTGACGTGGAGTACGCTTACCACGTGGGACAGACTGAATGTGGCAAGCCAGCTTGCCTCCAAGACTTCCCACTTGACGTCTTTAGGGGACTTTCCCTAGTTTTTACCAGGGGAGGGTGTTAATTTTTTTTTTTTTGTGCTGATGGGGGTGCTAATTTTGCCAACCCCCCCCCCCGCCCTCGAATACAGAATGTTTCCACTGGCTGAGTAGAGATACCGACAAATGCTGGACTTTCTTAGTAAGCTTGCTCCTAAGCTGTAATCACAGCGCACACTTTCTCCATTTGAGTCCATGTGCACAAAGCTTTCGGACTCTAGATATCTCCTCTTCCATATGTACAAATGTGTACTAGGCACCCACTTGGTATCTACCCCATATTATATCCAAGAATAGGAAAAGGAACTTGGATTGGAGTTTACTCCCCCTCAAATTCAGAAAATAATTAAATTGACTCATGTGTCCTTCGCTAGAACTTGTACTCAGGAATCATCCTATAAATTTCTTACTAGATGATATAAGAGCTCTCCCTTTTGGCCCAGATATTTCCAACTGCCGACGATGAAGGGGTAGCGGCCAACTGGGCACTTTCCTCCACCTTTGGTGGTTTTGCCCCAACATTAAGACCTTCTAAGAGGCAATCACTCCATGGGCTAAAAAAATTACCCCTAAACCGGTATCCAGCACCCTATTGCTATTCCTGTTCCATGACATCCCTCCTTCATCAAATCATACAAGAATAGTGTCATTCCCTGTCTGCTAAATGCAGCAAAATTCCTAATCCCACTCTATTGCAAACAGGTCTCTTGCCACTTGGTAACTGAGTGGCAAACACTATAATGGAATCAGAATGATGAGTACAATTGGCTAAAAACCAACAGGATAAATTTAGGGTTGAGTGGATTGGTTGGATGTATTACTCTGATGAGATACCTGATGCCTAAGTGCTATTTGGACTACGTCGAGCAACCCAGTTCTTTATACTCACCTGAACAAACACTACTGATACTTTTTATGTACCTGCTGACCTGGATTTAGTTCCTTAAGTTCCAGGTTTGTATGTTTGCTTCTACTAGTCTTTAGTACCACTATGGGTCATTTTCTACATGTACACTATTTGACATTATTTGCACAGTGGCTGTGCTACAAACACTTATAGTTTTGGTTGACATTCTACAATACTGTACTGCCTTTATGAAACATTTTTGGATGTATAGTACTAGATCATCTACCTCTTTGACTGCCTTTTTGCAACTGGATACTGAGCACTCTTCAGAAATCTGTACAATACTTATTGTTGCATTTGCCCTTTTTGATTTGTTTTTGTATTGTAAAATGCTAATAAATATCTGATTTCTTGTACCAGGTGTTTTTTTTCCTGCTAGAGAAAATGTTGGCAGTTAACAGTCTTTCATTCAGGCCAGTCTTTTATTACTGCTGAGAAACACGCAGTATTATGCTTCATGCATTGTGAGTAGCAGCATACGACTCAGAAATGATAGAATGGATTAGAAAACAGATAGTCTTTTTGTAGCTACTAATGTCTTGGCATCTTTGCAGGAATAAATATAAATCCTTTTTCCTATGCTCTGTTTTTTTGCAGGGCTTATTGTCTACTTTGGTTATGGTATCTGGCACAGTAAAGAGAACTTGCGAGGACCGAAGAACCATGGGGTCACCGCACGCTATGTAGTGTTTCCAAACAGCAGCCTCGAAGAAACCGTGCAACAGGTCCAGCCAAACCTTCAGGACACCATGGGAAGGGCAGAGGTCTTAGATGAAGAAATCCAGAAGAGATGATACTTAAAGGTCTATTTTGACCCTACATGCTAGGAAACCCTTATGTTGTACAATCTCCTTCTCTGAAAGGAATTTACCATTTGCACTGAAAATCACATTAAACAAGTCTTGTATACTTGTACAAGAAAGCACAGAGAACATAATCAAGAGATATGTTTCTTCTACAGTTTGTAACCATTGGTATGTAAAGAAGCCTCACAAGCTAGATCTAACTGCACAAGAATGATGTATTGGTCATATGCATTTACATAATTAATGTGCCCCACAGATGTCTCTATATTGGGAAGACAGTCCTGAGCCCCACAACTGTCCTTATGTTGGAAAGACTGTCCTCTGCCCCATATCTTTCCTTAGATTTGAAAGCTTTAGGTACCCACTTTGCAAGATCTGACTAATCGAGACCTCAAAATCCAGCCATTAGACCTACTGGTGTTATGGGGAAGTATTATGTAGACTTGTTATGTTTTAATGAATTGTAGTTTCAGGGTTGTGGAAATTTTTTTTAAAACTACTTGTCCAAGGGACTAAATCGGGGTCCCAATATACTTGTCCCTCATGACCATTCACTTGCCCTGAAAAAAATATATATTTTATTACCTCCCTGCCTTTCTCCAGCACTGCACCTGGGGACTAGCAGGGAGGGGAGAGACCTTGCAGTGTGATGAGCATTGATTGGGTGCTCATCAGGAAAGGACTCTTAATGCTCAGCAGAAGTGTATCTGCTAAGCGAGTAAATGAGGCACTGACCCCAATGAGATAAAAAAACTGCGCATGTTCTGAAATCAGGGAAAACAAGCCGAGCGCCAAGCTGAAGAGGTACCTGAAGTCACTTAACGTTTTACATACTGTGTTTAACAACACAGGCATGGGGTGCTACAGCTGCTGTCAAATTCTGTTACCTGCTGTGTATCCCCTGGGATCAGCACTGTTAACCTCTTCCCGTCCAGCCCATTGCCGATAAACTGCCGGATGGGAGCACTGCCGATGCGGGGGGAAGTTTCTAAAGCTCCCCGGGAGCGTGCAGCACTGTGAACTGTGACACAGATCGTTGTACGGGACCCCTATGTGAGGTCCCGATTCATGTGATCCCTGATTGTGAATCAGTGCTCACATGAACAGTAGTAAAGAAGATGTCACTTCCTGACATCAGTGTATACTACTTGTGAAATCTGTGAATGATCACAGAGGTCACATGGTACAAGGTTATTCACAACATGTACCATGTGACAAGCTGTGACCAATCACAGCTCTCACAGTATTTCTCAATCTCAGCCTTTATGGGTGTAAAAACAATCAGTGTAAAAAGAAAAAAAAATCTTCATCACCCCCCACAAGTAGTACATGGTGTCATGTATGGTGACACTGTACTGCTAGGATGACAGTATGTAAAAAATAAATACATAAATAAATAATATAATAAAAATAAATGTAAACATTTTTATTTTAAATTAGATTTTCTTTTTATAAACTAATTAAAAGTTATTTTTTTTTTTTTTTACCAAAAAGATAGCTGAATACAGTTTGGCCACGATTTGTTTGCAAAATTGTATAAGAAAAACACTTTTTTTTTCAAATTTTCGGTCTTTTTCATTTATTTAGCAAAAAAATAAAAATCTCAGTGGTGAATAAATACCACCAAAATAAAGTTGTATCTGTCTGAAAAAAATGCTAAACATTTCATATGGGTATGACTGCGCAATTGTCATTCAAAGTGTGATAGCGCTGAAAATGAAAATTGGCCTGGGCAGGAAGGGGGTGAAAGTGTCCGCACTAATAATGATGACCCATGCCTGTGTCCCCGCTTGGCTATGACGGCGCCCGAGCTTCTGAATGCCGACCATGAAAGTGCCTGTGTTGTAGCCCGGCATGTACGGAGCTAAGTGACTAGGTGCTTGGTTTTTTTTCCCTGATTCCGGCACATGCGCAGTTGATGCAGGGAACACAGATCTGCATAGGACACAGGTCTGCGTGGGATACAGATCTCCATAGGATACAGATCTTCGTAGGATACAGATCTTCATGCTATGTGAAGCCGTGCATGCTGTGTAGCAGTGAAGTGGTTAAATGTAGTGGGTTAGGACTGGTGTTTGAAGGCGGAGGAGAGGAAGGGGAAATACAGTGATCATCAACACACTCGCTTTGTTAAACATATCGCAGCAAATGCTTGTCCACGTTCATTGCTGACATTAAGCTGGGCTGGAACTTCTCATATCTCCCTGTACTAAGGTGCATGGCTCCCTGAGGCTGAATGTCTGCTTGCCCGGAGCAGGGCTAAATGTCAGAAAAAAAACACTTGCCCTGCACCAGGAACCACATGTCCCGGGGGTCGGGCGATATGATTTGCACATTCCTGAGTTTGTAGTCATCCCAAAACAATTGCTTGTTTTGGGCCTAGGTTTTCAAAAATGTAGAAAGGGAATTTCTATATTGTTAATATTATTTATACATAATTTATGTACAACACTACGTTATGTAATAAAGACAAAAAACATACAAGGTCACTAATTAGCAAATGTATATTTTCAGCTGATGAAAGTTAAGCTACGAAAGATTCTGCACTTCTAATATTTTTTCAATAAACAAGAAAAGCTTGCACAGTAGTGACAAAACATAGGAGCTATGTGAGTGATCACACTTTCTGTCTTTCTCTCTCTCGCAAAATTACCTTGATGTATTAAACTATATGCTTTTGCTGTCAAAATTGCCTTGAAGCAACCACCAACACTTCCAGAGCTCATTAGGTTTTATTGTGGTATCAAGGTAGATCCTGCTATACATCTGCTAAGAAACTTTGGTTTGTTACATAGTTAGTCTGGCTGAAAAAAGACAAAGTCCATCCAGTTCAACCATTAAAAAAAGAGGAATGCAAAAAACCTCAGCAAAGCATGATCCAATTTGCTCCTGCAGGGGAAAAGACTCCTTCCTGTACTGTCCTTGTGCTTATTTTGTAAAAAATACACATCAGAGATATATTGGCTAGAGTCTGATTGATGCTGCGATACACCCCTAATAAGCCTTGGAAGTAGTATGTGTGTGTGTGGTTTATTCAGTTCATCTCTGCTGAATTCTAGGGATGTTGTTCGTCTTGTGTGCCTTTCAGATATTGGCCTTGGATGGGTTGTATCTTTGATCATTTTCTTTTGCTGTCTCTAAAATACAGTGCTGTGAAAAAGTATTTTCCCCGGTCCTGATTTTATTTATATATTTACTTGCATATTTTTCACAGTTAGATTATTCAGATCATCAAACAAATTTTAATATGATAACCCAGGTAAATACAAAATTATTTCATTTATTTAGGGAAAAAAAGCTGCCCAAACCTGCCTGGAACCTGCCTGGCCCTATGTGAAAAAGTAATTGCCCCCGAAACCTAATATCTGGTTGTGCCACTCCTTGGCGGCAACAGCTACAATCAAGCATTCGCGATAACTGGCAATGAGTTCACATCACTGTGGAGGAATATTGGCCTACTCTTGACTAGGCCACTCCAAAAACTTAATTTTGCTTTTTTTTTTTTTTTTTTTTTTTTTTTAACCATTCAGAGGTAAACTTGCTGGTGTGTATAACCCAACAGCACTTGAGTTAAGGGCACGAACTAATGGTCTGACATTCTCATTCAGGACTTGCTGGTAAAGCACAGAATTTATGGTTCCATCAATTATGGCAAGTCGTCCAATTCCTGAAGCTGCAAAGAGCATCACACTACCACCACCATGTTTGACTGTTGGTATGATGTTCTTTTTATGATGTTAGTTTTACGCCAGGTGTAACAGGATGCACATCTTCCAGAAAATTCCACTTTTTTCTCGTCATTCCACAGAAATCTTGGGGATAATCAAGATGTTTTTTGCCAGATTTTAGAGGACCCTTTGTGTTCTTTTTGATTAGCAGTGGCTTTCACCTTGGAACTCTCCCATGGATGCCATTTTTGCCCAGTCTCTTTCTTATTGTTGAATCATGAACACTGACCTTAATAGAGGCATGTGAGGCTTGCAGTTCTTTAGATGTTGTTCTGGGTTCTTTTATGACTGCCTGAATGAGTTGTTGTTGTGCTCTTTGAGTAATTTTGGTAGGCCGGCCACTTCTGGGAAGGTTCACCACTGTTCCACGTTTTCTCCATTTGTGGATAATGGCTCTCACCGTGGTTTGCTGGAGTCCCAAGCCTTAGAAATGGCTTTGTAACCCTTTCCAGACTTATGCTTGTTAATTACTGTGTCATCTGTTCTTGAATTTCTTTAGATCATGGTACAATGTGTTGCTTTTGGAGATCTTTTTGCGTGCTTCATTTTATCAGACAGCTTTTAATTAAATGATTTCTTGATTCAACAGGTCTGGCGGTAATCATGGCTGGGTGTGGCAAGTGAAATTTAACTCCGCTTTCCAAAAAATGTGGCTAATGGTTAATCAAAGTTCATTCATTTTTTAGCAAGGGAAGGGGGGGGGGAGCAGTTACTTTTTCACATAGGGCTAGGCAGGTTTAGACAGCTTTTTTCCCTTAATAAATCAAATAATAATTTAGAAACTGCATTTTATATTTACTCGGGTTATCTTTGTGTAATAAAATTTTGTTTGATGATTGGAATCATTTAAGTGTGACAAATATGCAAAAAAAAAAATCAGGAAGGGGGCAAATATTTTTTACAGCATTGTAGCTATTAAATTATGTGATTTTGGCACATTTTTTTTCTCCATGTGGCCATGGGACAGACCGATGCAAACTTGATTTATAGCAGAGAATACAGCCTAAAATATAGCAAATTTATTCAATGTGTTCCTTATTGACGCATTCAGCTTAGTGGTTTAGTTGAAATGGAAGGTTCAGTGTGAGCTTCAAATCAAGAAATGATGATAAAAGCATGTACTGGATCTCACAGTATTGACTTTCTTTGTCTTAAAAAATCATTACCCATTGTTGTACAAATATTGATGTAGAATAGATCGCTACCATGACCTTTAAATTATAGGAACAATTATAGAATTCTATAATGGTTTTCATTACA